GGTTATCCGAATCTTTTCGATTCTCGGAGTGGAGATCCCACTCTCAGTTTCACCTTTCCGGATTCTGGGAGTGGAGATCCCACATCGAGTCTCCTTTCCAACTGAAGATAGAATATAAAATTCTTCTTCTTCATTGTCGGGAGATAAAATATAAAATTCTTCCTCTCCCATTTCGGGTTCGTCTTTGCCCCAAGAGAAGACACCACCTTTTTCAAATCCCAAAATCTGTGCCTCACAGGTACAGGGAATTTTATCCCGAATCCTAAGTAGGGATAAGTCAACGCCTAACACGCGGTTGCCGGTTTAGTCTTTCACCGATTGAAAAAGACACCAGAATTCTAGTCTGGGGAATTTGATCCCGAAGATAAGTGTGCGCCTAACACGCGCTGCCGGTTTAGTCTTTTTCCGTACAAAAAGACACCAGGGTTCGATTCTGGGGTATTCTATCCTGAAACCTAAGCAAGGATAAGTCTGCGCCTAACCCGCGCTGCCGGTTAGTTCTTAACCGTTGAAAAGAACATCCGTCCACATATTCAACATTGTGGCAGGTTGTTATTAATAACACCAAAATCCATGCCTTACACGCATGGGGAATTTCATCCTGAATCCTAAGAAAGGATATGCCGACGCCTAACACGCGTCGCCGGTTTAGTCTTTTTCCGTAGAAAAAGACACCAGAGTTCGATTCTGGGGTATTCTATCCTGAAACCTAAGCAAGGATAAGTCTGCGTTTAACCCGCGCTGTCGGTTAGTTCTTAACCGTTAAAAAGAACACCCGTTCACATATTCAACATTGTGACAGGTTGTTATTAATAACACCAAAATCCATGCCTTACACGCATGGGGAATTTCATCCTGAATCCTAAGAAAGGATATGCCGACGCCTAACACGCGTCGCCGGTTTAGTCTTTTACCGATTAAAAAAGACACTAGAGTTCGATTCTGGGGTATCTCATCCCGAAGCCTAAGTAGGGATAAGTCAACGTCTAAGACACGTTGCCGGGTAGCCTATTCCCGTAACAATGGCAAAGCCTATGTATTCAACATCATAGCACAAAGTCTCAGAGAATTCACTCTCTTAGCACAACGTTACATGCGGAACGGATTTAGACAATCCGCATGCTAGCCCGACTCAAACGGTAGTCGGTAAAGGCTAATCAAACCCGTTGAAGGCTGGGGGTTAGCCAAAAACCCCAAAGTCGACGCCTAACACGCGTCGCCGGGTAGTCTATTCCCGTGAGAAAGACGAAGTCTACGTATTCAATATCGTAGCACTAAAAGGGTTAACTCTTTTAGCTTAACGTCACATGCGGAACGGACTTGAACAATCCGCATGCTAGCCCGACTCAAACGGTAGTCGGTAAAGGCTAATCAAACCCGTTGAAGGCTGGGGGTTAGCCAAAAACCCTAAAGTCAACGCCTAACACGCGTCGCCGGGTAGTCTATTCCCGTGAGAAAGACGAAGTCTACGTATTCAATATCGTAGCACTAAAAGGGTTAACTCTTTTAGCTTAACGTCACATGCGGAACGGACTTGAACAATCCGCATGCTAGCCCGACTCAAACGGTAGTCGGTAAAGGCTCATCAAACCCGTTAATGGCTGAGGGTTTGCCAAAAATCCTATAAATACGAGAGTCACTGACGCATCAGCTCCATTAGTTGGTCTCGTGACTTGAGCATCCAACGACATTCGAAACCCTAGGGTCAACGCCGGTCAACGCGTAACCCCAGGTCAACGCCAGTCAACGCGTTGCGAGCAAAAATTCAACGTATGACATTCAAAACCCTAGGGTTAACGTCGGACAACGCGTAATTCTAGGTCGACGCCAGTCAACGCGTTGCAATCAAACAGTCAACGTACGACATTCAAAACCCTAGGGTCAACAGGTAACCCTAGGTCAACGCCTATCAATGCGTTGCAATGAAAGAATCAAAAACTCCAAAGAGTATACGAGTATAAACTACTTCTTAATACTCCGAAAAGTATACGAGTATAAACTGCTTCTTAAATACTCCGAAAAGTATACGAGTATAAACTGCTTCTTAAACACTCCAATAAGGTATATGAGTATAAACTATTCCCTAATTTTTGAGAAGTTCCTGGAGAATGTTTTCTATAAATATTCTTAAGGATAACTCAAACAATAAGACGCCGGACAACGCGTTGCAGATAAAGACTCGACGCCAACAATCGATGGTCAGCTAAATCAGGAACCGACTTCAAAGTTCAAAATTCCGACAACGGTCAGACAATAAATGCAGCACCGAAACTCTTTCAGACATTCGACAAAGCACCGAATAGCCTGGAGAATTGAAGGAATCAAGAACGGAAGTCATTCCAAGGTCCCATTACACCGACTGAAGGTTGGGACAAGCATATCCAAAGTATTCCAGACTCTTCTATAAAAGAACGAGACTGAAATACTTTGGAGGGGGTATCTGTAGGCATATAAAATTGCTTATAGGTCCCTTAGCTCAGCTCGGCACAAACCGACAAACCAACGAGGCAACGAGATTGACTAATCGCACGCAAGCAACGGAATACGTCCATTCGCGTGCGGGATCAAGCCAAGTGTTCGAAGAGTCAACGAGTCATCCAACCAAGGGCATACTCGGACGAATCACGATCGAATCAAGATCGGTTTCGGACTCGAACTCAGAAGTGGATTTACTGCCAAATCAGGAATCCGACTTACTGCCAAATCAGGAATCAAATCAGAGTCTGGATCAACCGAATCACGGACAGAACCCAAAGGTGGAAAACAGCAGAAAACCAAACACCCGGAGGGGCTCGGAAACCAAGTCACCGAGGCGGCTCACCGAGCCACCAAGGTGGCTCGGTGGCCGAGCCACCAAGTGGTGGCTCGGCCGAGCCACCTAAGTGGCTCGGTGGCCGAGCCACCTTGGGGTGGCTCGGCCACCTCCGAGCCACCAAATGGTGGCTCGGAGGCCGAGCCACCTCCTTGGTGGCTCGGCGGCCACCAAGGTGGCTCGGCCACCACCGAGCCACC